CTGCCAGGCCTACCTGGCGGAAGGGTTACACATGTAGCAGCAGGGCTGGGTACTAGAGAGGGCCGAATGCGCTGCCTGCAGCACAGTCTGACAGAGGGGACTGGCTGCTGGGGTCTCTGGCTCTTTCTACAAGGAAAAAGCTTTTTTCCAAAAGGGCTCTTTCGGAAAAAGGCGTATGTGGATGGGGAAGAGGGAGTATCTTGCACAAGAGCAGGTGGGCTTTCTGGAAGAAAAGCCGTTTCTTCCACTTTCCGGAAAAACAGCCGTTCTTGCGCAATAACCCACCAGTGTAGACATAGCCCTAGATATTGAACCCAGCCCTGGTTGCTGCCAGGCCTACCTGGCGGAAGGGTTACACATGTAGCAGCAGGGCTGGGTACTAGAGAGGGCCGAATGCGCTGCCTGCAGCACAGTCTGACAGAGGGGACTGGCTGCTGGGGTCTCTGGGAAGGGAAGGGGAGGGGGTAGAAGTGGAAGAGCAAGTCAGGCATAGGGGCACCAGTTTAATAATCCCACCTAGGGCACCATAAATCCTAAGGACAGCCCTGATTACGTTAACCTAAATTACACAATTCTAGTCATGTGACTAACATAGCTGGAGTCGACATTGCTTAGGTTGACTTATTCTAGTGTTTACACCATGCTGGGTCGACAACTCTACCATTCACTTACTTTACACCTCTTCTTCCAGGACAGTACCAGACTTGAAGGGAGAATGATCTGCAGTCACAGGATCACAGGGTTGGAAGAGACTTCAGGAGGTCAGAGTCCAACCTCCTGCTAAAAGCAGGATCAACTAACTAAATCATCCCAGCCAGGACTTTTTCAATAGGGGACTTAAAAACCTCTAGGGATGGAGGTAACCCATTCCAGTGCTTAATCACTCTCCTAGTGAAAGTTTTTCCTAATACCTAACCTAGACTTCTCCCACTGCAATTGGAGACCATTGCTCTTGTTTTGTTATCTGTTACAACTAAGAACAGCCTTTCTCCATCCTCTTGAGAACCCTCCTCCATTCAGGTAGTTGAAGCCTGCTATCAAATCCCCCTCCTCCCCCAACTCTTCTCTTCTGTAGACTATTTAGTCCAAATCCCTCAGCCTCTCCCCATAAGTCATGCGCTCCAGCCCCCTAATCATTTCTGTTCCCCTCCACTGGACTTTCTCCAATGCATTCACATCCTGTCTGTAACAGGAGGCCCAGAACTGGACGCAATACACCAGATATTGCCTCACAAGTGACAAATAAATGGGAATAATCACTTCCCTAGATCTGCTGGCAGTGGTCCTACTAATACATCGCAATACGTCATTAGCCTTTTTGGCTACAAAGGCACACTGTTGACTCATATCCAGCTTCTCATCCACTGTAATCCCCAGGTCTTTTTCTGATGAACTGCAGCTTAGCCACTCGGTTCTCAGCCTATAACAGTGCTTGGGATTCTTCTGTTCCAAGTGTGGGACTCTGCACTTGTCCTTGCTGAACCTCATCGGATTTCTTTTGGCCTAATCCTCCAGTTTGTCTCCTGGGACCTCAGGTTCCACTGTGACACTACTGAACCTTTGTCACCCTACTTCCGAGAGACGTCCTAATAAGGCTGTGCTAGAAAGAGGGCAGCAGATAACATCACTACCTCCACCAGCTCCAGCTAAATCTGAAATACAATCTAGAATGTGAGATCTTCTCAATACTATAGAATCACAGAAGTTTAGGGTTGGAAGAGACCTCAGGAAGTCATCAAGTCCAATCCCCCCTGCTCAAAGCAGAACTACCTCAATTAAATGATCCCAACCAAGGCTTTTGCTTTCTGTGCAATGAGTCAAGATCGTAGACTCTGGTGCACCACTTTAAGCCTCAGAGGGGTAGCTGTGTTAGTCTGGATCTGCAAAAGCGACAAGGAGTCCTGTGGCACCTTATAGACTGCCACAGGACTCCTTGTCACTTTAAGCCTGTGACCAGAAAGAAGCAAGCAACGCCTTAAGAAGTCTGGTGCTAGCACAAGTTGCCAGATTTTGGAGTGGTTGACCAGACTGCGTATTGGATCTGCAAATGTGAGTCAACCCTAGAGACACAAGCTGTGTTTTCTATTGTTCTTACTTTTTTCTTTCCTTTTGTGAGTGTCTGTCTTGTTTTGTCATTAAGGAAAATGGGATCAGACTTTAAAAACAAAACAAAACAAAAACACACAACTCACCACCACCTCCAGTCCACCTCAATTAACTTTTCTCTTTCCCCTCCAAAAAAGATAATTGTTGTCATCTTCAATTTCATGTCAAACTCTGTCAAACAGGGCATCTGTCCGTCTCTGAAGCAATGAGATTCCAAAAGGAATAAGGGGTATTGCTAATGGAATCCTTCTGCCTGATGGAACTGGCAGCGATAAGCACTGGGTTCAGTATCTAGGGGTTCCTCTTCAACAATACAACACAAAACTTCTTTTGGAGTTGTGAGGGTACTGGCTACAGACTGGAAGATGTAGAATGTAGCTATGGGGACCTGGGAAGGACCGAAGAGAGACTCAAGAAGCTCAATGTTCTTAGCTTATCAAAGAGAAGGTTAAAAGATGACCTGATCACAGGCTACAGGTACTTACATGGCAAACAAAAGTTTGATAATAAAGAACTATTCAATCTAGCAAGGAAAGGTATAACAAGATCCAACAGCTGGAAGTTGAAGTTAGACAAATTCAACCTAAAAAGTGAGGTGCACATTTTTAACAGTGAAGATAGTAACCACTGGAGCAACCTACCGAGGGTTATGTAGATTCTCCATCACTGGCACTGATGCCAGCTCTTAAAGTGCTTCTAATGTAGAGTTGCAGCAGTGGTAGTTGCCAGGACCCAGCGCAAGCTGTAGTGCTAGCCCTTACTGACTAATTGTGTAGTCGAAAACATTTTTGTCAACTACATGATTCATGAACTACACACTTCTTAACAACCCTAATTCCTGCAACTCCTTCTCCTGAGCCTGTTCCACCACCTTAGCTCCACCCTAAACCCCACACCCGCACCTTCAATGTCTTATCCTGAGCCCCACCCTAGAGCCCGCACCCCCAATTAGAATCCACTCCCCTCCAGCTATTTAGCCCCAACACCACCACAGACCATCCAAGTGCAGAATGGATTTTGTTATGTGGACCAATATAGAAGTGACAGTGACATAAAAAGTAAAGGAAATACTGGCTGAGACTTGAAGCTGCCCATGGGAAAACAAGAGCAGAACTGGGGCCTAGATGGCGCTCCCTCCCCACCATCCTTGGAGACTGGGTCAGGGTCCACCCTGCTCTCCAAATGTTCTTCTGCATCCCCCTAGGGAGTGTGGAGACCTCTACTTTAGCTTAAGCGTACAGCAGAGTGGTCTTGGAAGTTCCGGAGAACCCTCTAGAGGAGATGGCTGCTGGAATCCTTGGACTGCGTGGACTATATTAGCTACCAATTCTCTCCAAGGTGTTGATCAAGGTATTGACTTGATGCAAAGCCCTATATCGATTTGGGAACTGCATACATTCAACATAGCTTCTCTCTCCATTAAGCATATAAACAGCTGAGATTAGTAATGTTGTAAACATTCAAAAGATAGTATAATAACCTGTAACAACAAAAGTTGATAGAAAAAAATATAAAAAGGAACAAAATAACTAAATTAGTCTAAACTAAAAAGCCAAGTTAATAACAACCAAAGACAGTTTTAAAATTATGCTGGTAGGGACAAGTATAAATGAACATAAGTCAGATATCAGAAATGCTAACACACATAATCTGTACGGGAACATTTGAACCTGCTTGGGCACTTAATCATGTATTTAGAAGTAGCCATTCTTCTGCAAAGGAATTTAACAAGCTAATTACAGAGAGAGAGAGAGAGAGAGAGAGAGAGAGAGAGAGAGAGAGAGATATGTGGAATTGACCTTCATATGCAAATCTGACACTGTTTCCCTGGGCTTGAACACTGACATTAAACTGGACATCCCATTATAAAGTCAGCCTTTCATGCCTTAACACCTCATTTGCCCACTCAGTCTCTTTAGCACGGATACTACAACTGACAGTTATCCCCCCCCCTTCTTTTTCTGCTATAAATTCTGGGTTCTTGTTTTTTCCACTCCAGCTCATGTGAAGAAGTAGAGTTTGATCATGAAAGTTCTGATACTGTATATATTTTTGTTAATATCTAAGGTGCCACAGGGCTACTCATTGTTTTAAAAGTTACAGACTAACACGGCTACCCCTCCTTCAGGTGGAGGAACTTAATTTTATTTAAATCTGGTTTACATATTTTATCTGAAGTCAATGCCTTGTATATTTAAACTGAACCAATATAAACCAGAATTATATTCAACTGAAAGCATCCATGCAGGAGTTATCACTGCTTTCACTACACTGATTTGAATATTAGAGAAAAGCCCTTTAAGAGCCTCAATGTATGATTTAGAACAGGGGTGGCCAACCAGTTAGACACGAAGAGCCAAAAGAGCTGTGGATAGTGGTGCAAAGAGCCACACATCCCTCCCCCAGAGCCAGGCAACCCCAGCCCCCCCAACCCAATGCCCTCCCCCTCTCCCAGACCCCCCCCCAGCTGCCCCCA